CTTGCTCAGGCAGACAGGCGACTCTCCGTCGTGAGCGCAGTCTAGAGGAGTATTTCAATACCTTTGATTAGATGTGCACACTAGTACCGCGAGAAATGAATGGTAGAGATAGTGGATTCAAATTAGCCATCTGATGTCTCAAGTAGGATAGGCGTCCAAGCTACCCATGATCTGTCTGAGAGACTGGCACAGATGATATACCACTGCACCATCCGACCGTCCCTCCAGGCTCGTAGGGCTGGCTGCGCACAGGTGTCTTGCCTTTGTCCTCTGAAGCGTTTTGATAGTCAGGGCTTTTCGTGCACGTTTAAAGCTTAACCCGAGTGTATCCAGGCTGGGTCGAGACGGCATCATCAGGGGTACAACTCACACGCGTACCATTCACTGTCCCTTTAATCAATTTTATAATTTTATGTGTGATGCACAAGTCCAACACCTACAGGCTTGACATGTCAGTGAGCACCCGGAATAGTCACTAACAAGCTTTTGGCTGGGTTTGTTTAGCCTAAAAGTAACGTGATTAACTAACAAGGGTAAGGAGAAAATTCTGCTACCCGGACTCAACGCCCTTGACCTTGCCCGTTTCCTTGAGACAATCTGGGTGAAAATTTTTGTTACCCGCTTAGCCTTGATGCTTCTGATCTAGAATTGGCTATTAACAGGCTGCCCCTTTGTTTCTACAAGATCACGCTTACTGCGATCAGTCAAAGATATCACGCGTAGAGCGAATCTCTACTTACGGCCTCGCCGCTTATTATCGGCTAGCTAGTCCCAGTGGCGGATACCGCACAGGGGCGACCACCTGAAATAGAGTTTGAGCGACGGTATTGTTGTCACGTTAGCGCTCACCGTAGCCCGGTGACTTGTCATCCCGAGCGTCAGGGCGGAAGATCCGATCATCCCGAGCACCCAACCCATAGCAACTTTCCTGGCGCCCGAATATCGCTTGTGCGTGGAGATCGGGAAAGAAACAGGTGCAAGCAGATGTTTGAACGGCCTCGAAAGGATATTTGTGTGCCCCACAAACAGGCGAGAATCATCGGGAAATCGTGTGCATACAAAGACACATTAGATTGGCCCATATTTGCGACTTCCAATATGCCATAGTCCTCAGGAAATATGCCTTCTGTCCAGCTGGTGTAAGGAACCGGGATCGACGGTGTTGTATGCATCTTGAATGCTCCTTTATCCATGATGGCCTAGGACCCAGAATGTCCGACCGGTAGTGTGGAAATCCTACCAAGTCAATCTGGGGCAAACAGAAGAAGACAGATCAGACTGTCGTGATTCTTATCCCCATGTAGAAACTTGGAGCCATATAAATCATCTGAGCTGTATCGGGCGACTGGACCAGAAGCGCTGCGTTGATCTCTCCCTCCTACCCTGTTAATGACAAGATCTTCTGTGATGCTGGGGAAAGTAGAAATCCATCCACATTTTACCGATTATCGGGTTGTATGGCTATGTGTTATCCTCCTTTATCCAGATAATGATCAACGTTAATTTATCAACGAGCTAGAGCGATCAAGCAGGAGGTATGTCAGAACGAGGTTTCCCCATGATGCGACGTCTACGAATTATCCAGGGATATCGCATTCAATAGTGACTAAGTAGTAATACGGCATATTCAAAGCATCTGATGTTTATCTAGTTTCCCCTGGGATAGCTACGCCATGGCTTTCATACAGCCGTAACCTACTCTCACAGGGCTCAGAGAATGCGGAAAGCATGGTTCAGTTACGATTCACTGAACAAATACGAGGAAAAGCTTGGCATAAATTTGCAGTTTTCCCTTGTGTGTACGTAACAGGCCCACAAGACTGCACTAGAATAGCGGCTTTTTATTCGAGAAATGTCACCTTTATATAGATTTTAAGGCGCTACATTGAAGCTATTCCAGCATCTGAGAAGAAAAGTTGGTAGATAGCGATATAAAAGATTCAAGACAAGGTCATTGGCAAATTGATCTATGAGTTGTTGTCTGGAGCACAAAGAAAGCTCAGGCTGCATTAGAACCTATGTGTTAGTAGATAAGCCCTACGAACAGTGTCCTATTGAAAATACTGGCAGTGGTATGAGCAGGTGTAACCTGTTTAGTAACACTTGGATCCCTAGACAGCGAGTCTTCCATTCGTCAACGTCAAATTTCGGCGGTGTTGAACCCAGTACATTATGACCTCATGATATAGGAGTCGTGTATAGTGCAATCTTGAGCTTAAATTACAGAGCTCGACGGTGCAGGGTACACCTCACCAGGGCCTAGATGAAGCAGATATATCCAAGCCTTTAGAGTTGGGTGAAAAACTCAGATGCCCTCACTTTTTGCCCGGAAGCTTCGCAATAGTCGTCCGAGGTTTGCTGCGAGAGAGGGAGAGCTAGGTCCACAAAGCGGCTCCCCTGGCTAACTGCTAGTGCACTCCATGTACGGAGTGCGCCAGGCTTAACAAACATCGTTGGTTATCGGCTAAACTCTTTATTGGGTAGATTTTTCCGAGATCAACTGGGCTATCCCAGCGATTTATGTGGAGATTAGTTGATGAATGAGAAACAGTTCATGAATAGCGAGCCGGTGATAATTACTGTGGATATGATAATGATAAATTCTATACTTCTGTCGAGCACCATCAAACTTTCTGTACTCAGTGTTGCTAGCTAGGAAAAAAAGACACTGTCGTGGTCAGCCCGTATCATCGTGAATCTCTCGTTGCGGAATCGTGGGAGCAAAAAAATCATATTTTCACATGTGAATCCGTCAATCGTCGTTAGATACTGGCCAAATTGTGTGATTCATCGCATTATCATTTCCTGAAGTAAGATGGAGCCATGTCGTAGGACAATTGTTACCCAAATTTTAACATGGCATGACGAGCAGGGCCCCATGCCGTCCTCACGGATTACGTCGACAGATAGTAGGCGCATACGAGACTTGGATGTTGACTATACCAGGGTACCTTTCACGCAGAGGTTTCCATTCTTTGAGTTTTCTGACGCGAAATGGAGCAAGTGTGCTGAAAAGCTAGCGTGCGCGCCGACCGTTCGGAATATCTTGAAAAGTTGGCTGGAATCCTCTAATTTGTGCTTGAATGCTTGTCTCTGAAGGCCAGTGGGCTGAGGTGACATTAGTCGAGCGATGAAAGTAGGTGCGATTACTTCGAGATCATCCTGGACGACTCTTGGGAGAAACCTCGTCGAGACAGACGACTGATGTGATGAGCACAACGGACAGTTGTCGGAAAACATCCAATCATCAGCCCGAGCGTTGATACTCATGTTGGTGATGGAGCTAGCATGATCTCATGGCGAAAGACACGCCGACCGTCGAGTCCTAAAATACGCAAAACTCGAAGATGCATGCGCCGCAGTGAAGCTGCATGCAGGTGACTCATGGTGCATCAAGATAGACGGGTCAAGGTAGTCGATCTACCTCTCAGAGCCGCGCGTAGCCTGGACTAGCCGATATGTGTACTCAAGTAAGCTTCCGAAACCCCGTCATATGATATATCTGTTGGCCCTGTACATGTAATGCTCGGCAGGTTTTGCCAGCTAAGTCTCCCGCTGCAACCCAGCGAATTTTTGCCTCTTAATGTCATTAACTTAGGGGGGACGTGCTTCAATTCTGGTGATCGGCGTCGGCCAATTACCCTTGGTGCAGACGCGTTCAAGATAATAAATTATCTTTCAGGCTCCTCCTGCGCTCTGACTCCCGCTGCTGCATAATATTGAAGTCTCTAATCATCGAACCAAGCGCCTGTTCTAGATCAAAAGAGCCGCTGCTCTCAGGGTATGCGGCCGACGGAGAATGATTTGCCACGCCAGTCTACTGAATCATCTATGATATAGGTGCTGCAATAATCAGATTGATATCACTCTATTTAAGTCTCATGGGGCTTGAAGTTCTACATGCTATAATATGAGCTAAATTATCTTCCTATAAATCGCCAAATCATCTGACCAATATACTCGCCATTGGATCGCTGGGTTGACCTGCCTGTTCAGCCTTGCACGTAGTCAGAATTTGGTAAACGGCTCAGCCTTTTGCACAGAAGAGGACTCTTTGGAAGTGCTTATGTAAGGTGATCGTCAGGACACACTTTGTGTCGGTATAATCCAAGTGTAGTTCTACCTAGCATTGAAGAGTATTAATTATCTTGTGGTATTGATCGTACGCACTGACCTTTGCCTTAATGTTGACTTTTTCCTTTTGTAAATCTCATCCTCACCATTTGCATGTAATTTTACAAGTTTCTTCTTCTCCGTTACAATTGGATAAATACGCGAGACGAGCCAATTTAACAATTACACCGATTTTCTTCACAAGCCCAAATCCAAGACTATACCCTCAACAAATACATGAGATTTGGTCCAATTAAATTTAACCTAAGGATTACCGGCCTGCACAATCCATTGCAAGGCCCCCATAATAAAATGAATTCACTGGACTGATATTCCTGTATAAAACGTTTCAGTGAAATTAAACCCTTATTTTTATAGAAAATTTGGGCTATTACCCTTTGGGTATCTGGCTTGTAAAGTCGAAGACAGAAGAAATCGTGAGCCTAGTTTACTCGCGAAAGTAAGTATTTCAAGAAAGACCGTCTATTACGTCAATATTGTATTGACCAAAGTTTTTATTTTGCTGGCTCCCGACGAGAGTGATGTGGGACCCGAGAGTCCTGATCAGACACATCATGAACGATAATATTTATCGTAATTTCTTGTAGTTCGCACTGGGTCGATTTGGGATCATTACTATTAACTATTTACAGTAGCAGTAAAATTGGATTATATATGCTCAAAGTAGCCGATCATGTGGTAATTAAAGACAAACATTACACGTATGTACATACTGTTTGTTTACATGACTTATTTACATGTTTTTTAATGACACGGTAAGTGGTAAAAACTAAACCAAACCACAAACGCCGATCGCTATGCAAGGAAGTGACAGACATAACTCGTCATTATTGAAATTTCAGACTTAGCAAAGAAATGTTTGCATCTTATGCCAAGCTGGTGTCGTAACTACTTTTTGCTCTCAGTAGTTTTCCTTTCCAAAAGAATATCCATGGCACTGGTGTCAGGAACAGTGACAGAAAAGCGAATATACTACCAGCCCAGTGAATTCCGAGGGATGTGTATAGTTGAATTGTGAAAAGTGGAAAGGCAGCTCCTAATGTGTATCGAAGTATTCCATTAGCAGCTATTGCTGAGGCGCTGTTTGTAACCTGATACACCTCTACGAGATACGCTGTGGAAGATATAAAAATCCCCAGCGTACCCCATCCGAACGGGACTCCAGCTAGAACAGGAACTATCCAATGTACAGTTACTCGAGGTGTCCAGGCGAACCAAAATAGGCCGATTGGAAGCATGATACTTCCTAGCATGGCTGTATATAGCCGGTGTTCAGGTGCTGGAATCCCACGTACCCGAGCACATTCTCGGCGGTACAGAGTGTTATCGAACAGGCTGAACGATGCAACGGCAAAAATGAATCCAACCAGTATCCCAAGGAACGTAAAGCCAATCTGTTTTTGGTTGAAATGGTAAACAACGAGAAAAACGAAGTTGTATGAAGCGAAGAAAGAAAACAACATAGCAAAGGCGAAGCCGGTGTAAATACTTAGTAGCGCAACAAGCGGCTAAATTTATTAGCAATAAAAATTAAAGGATAAAGTGTATCGCACCTCGAAGAACATCATGTGAAAGGGCCGAGAGAGGGCCTGACGGAGTTTACGAATGAAGAGACGCGTGTCACCTCTTTTGTGAGGAATTTTGCCTTCGACCGTGCCACTAGCTTTTTTATACATGATCTGACTTTTGGACGTCTCTTGCATGAATATTGACATTATAGCCACAGGAGACCCAATCAACATGACAATCCACATGGACCATCGCCAGTCAAAGTTGTTTTCTGTAATAACATAGGCGCCAATTAATGGTCCAAGGCATGGTCCAAGAAAGGGCGCCATTATGTAAGAAATCGCTGCTTTGCTCTGAGCTTCGCGATCCCAAATGTCTAAGATAGTTCCAGCTCCAACAGCCAAGGCTCCCGATCCTGTGAACGAAGCCAAGAACCGCATAATCATTAAAACATGTACGCTATTTGTAGCTCCGCAAATTGCGGTGAATATTAAAAAAAGTGGCATTGATATCCAATAGACGATCCGTCGTCCATAGAGCTCTGATAATGGTGCGTATATTAATGGACCGGTGGTGAAACCAAACGTATATAGAGCCAGAGGAAGAATGGCAATTATACGGCTCACTTTAAAGTGGAACATTATAAAAGGAATTGCCGGAACATAAGCAGAAGTTCCAATTGTGCTGGATAAAATTAGACGGGAAAAAGGTACCCAATTATAAACTCACAGAACAAAGCCATAAAGTGCTGGTAGGGCAGTGTGAAAGATTTTCTTCCACAATGGCCAATTGTGAGGATTTTCGAGGTTGGATGGTGAGTCCCAATCGTTGTTAATAGAGCTAAGTCTTGATGGGGTGTAGGTCAGGCCATGAATAATACAACTTGATCCATCATTGTCGTCTATATACTTGTAGCTACTAGCTCTTGATGGAGATCGAGTTGTGCTGACTCCGGCGTCCGACATCATTGATTCATTAGTGTATTCTGCACAATCTATTGAGTCTGTATCGGCGTAACTTGATAAAACTGTTGGAGGAGGTGGAGGTTTTGTATGATTTCCCATAGTCATTATTGAATACTGTCGCTGTGGAAGATGATACTGTTCTCCTTCGTTTTTATCAACAGCTTGATACTTTTCGAGCCATGTTCCAAGGTCATCATGCATAATTTCAAAATTTTTTGACCTGGAGCTGTTGTCCATCCTAGTCCTGGAAGTGGAAGAGCTGGAATTATAGGCCCCAGTCATAAGGTTATCTCTGTGTGGCATTTTGAACTAGGTAACGAAAGAAAATACCCACTTGAACTCATGCTTATCAGAGGGTTCGTAGGCCATATATGGGCAAAGGGGATGGGTACGTAAGTGGACGAGCCACACTAGACGGGTTGAGCGCAAGTGGATTTCTGCGTATGGAAGGTCTGTGGAAATTTAGGCAATGCTTCCGACGCACAGCTATTTCTGTATAGCCAAGGCCAAAAGAAAAATAGACATGTCTTCAAGGGTGACGAGGGGGGTTCTGTCCCCTCATTGACGGATATCAACAGGGCACGTGCTGATAAAGGCGAGTAAATTGACTCAGCCAATTGACTGTCTCCCAGAGCCTATTTGTGGATACCGCATGGAAGGCGTATCTGTGCGAGAGGCAATGAGTGAAAGCCTCACAATACAGATGGAGGTTAATGCCACTCCACTTCATTCCAGGGGTTGACAGTTTGACGATGACGGCCTATAATGCTGTGGCGAAGTTCGACCCCTTGAAGAAAGATTTAGCGAGCTTTTGTTACAACTAATGTACTGGTACCTTGAGCTTTTTCAGGGCTGAGGGCCGTGGATCTTCCGTGTGTCTGTTTCATGAGTAAATCTCTGTTAAGAGTAGTAGCAGCACAGTGGACGGTCGCCGTTATTGCATGATAATATTGCTGATTAACATTCTGTTTAATTAACTATCACCACCAAGGGTCAGGAAAAGCTACATGGCTACAAGGTGAGAATTTTGTGGTCCAACGAAAATCAATAGACAATGGATGTTTAAGGATGGCTGATAGATAGTGATGAATGTCAAGGTTGATAGCAGCCTGATAAGGATTTCATGATGCAAGAAAAATGAGGCTCCTAGAGAAAGCTAATTGATTATATAATCGGCGAGGCAGCAAACTCCATAGATGCCTTGACGTCAACTCATGAACACCGAGATATGAGTGCCAGGTGCCCGACAGTGAGCGCTCTACGTCTCGGCAACATCAGTACCCTGCGTATTTCAAGCTTCCATCCTACCAGCAATAGCTTACATCAACTTGGAAGGCGAAACTTATCTCAAACCTCAAATATCGGAGCAGTGCCACCAAAATTACGTACCGGATACTTCTTTGCTAATGCCTTATTGCCATTGGAACAATTTGGGTCCAAAGATCCCCTAAATGGCCCAGTCATATTAGCCACCTCTCGAAAGAAGGCGAGGCTCTTTCGCTCAGATTCAGTTGCAACGAAATCTGCCATCCTGCCTCAGCAACAAAGATATGAACGAAAATCTAGCGCTACCACAGGCGACAGCTTTCTACCTTCTAACGCCGCAACAACTCTTACAAACTCAGCGTCTACTCTACCTAAAAATTCACTTCGACAGCTTCTTTCAATTTTACTTGCGCTTTCCAAGCCACGCTTGACTGTTCTTGTGGTGCTTACTGCCTGCGCATCTTATTCACTATATCCTACACCAGATGTCCTCCTCCCTTCCAGTACCAGTGCTCCCTCTCTCTCCCCGCTCACTCTTCTATTTCTCACTAGTGGTACGACACTCTGCGCTGCCGCCGCAAATACACTTAATATGATTTACGAACCTAAGTGGGATGCTCTAATGTTACGCACACAAAACCGGCCATTAGTTAAAGGATTGATTACCCCAAAGGCAGCTGCCATTTTTGCTGTACTTAGCGGAGTGGCTGGAGCAACTTTGCTATACTATGGTGTGAACCCAACAGTTTCCTTGTTAGGTTTACTAAACATTGCGCTCTACGCTGGGGTTTATACTCCGTTAAAGCGGAGATCAGTCATCAACACCTGGGTCGGCGCTCTTGTCGGTGGGATACCACCTCTAATGGGCTGGGCCGCTGCTGCAAGTCAAACTGCTGTGATAGGGAATTTCGAAGAACTATTATTAGGCAAACAGAATATTGGTGGTTGGCTATTGGCCACCTTGCTCTTCTCCTGGCAATTTCCACATTTCATGTCCCTTTCATGGTCAATCCGCGAAGACTACAAGAAAGCAGGGTACCGAATGCTAAGCTGGGTAAATCCCGCCCGCAACTCTCGGATTGCACTTCGATATAGCCTACTTTTCTTACCCATATGTTCAGGAATGTGCTACTTTGGGGTGACAGAATGGTCTTTTGCTATAACCTCGACACCCATTAATGTGTGGTTAATTTCAGAGGCAGTTAAATTTTGGAAATATCAAGGTGCATCCGGGAGTGCACGAGGCTTATTTTGGGCTAGTGTCTGGCATTTACCTGTCGTAATGATATTAGCTATGGTACAGAAAAAGGGCCTGTGGACTAAGGTGTGGATCGCCATTGCTGGCGAAAACGAGAAGGATACAGATATAATGGAATATGAAGACAAAACTTGAAACTAAAAGAATACCCAGCACTTCTGGCATTTTACGAAGACTCAGAATCTTTGAATCCAATAGATGGTGCGATATCTTTCAACTGATAAAATAGTTGATACTGTTTGTATAAATGTTGGTAAAATGAACCTGTATAGAAATTTGAGTTAGTCTGAGCACCATGACACAAGTAAACTTAATCCGCAAAACTTACCATTCCGCATGTGCAACTTCTTCTTACGGTTAATGTAGGACTCATGCTATAGCTAACGCTTCCTCTTTTTTCATAAGCTTAATGAAATAAGGATGTGCACATAAACTGTTGGATAGGCTGTGCCTCGGTATCTGATCAGATAACAATGTACGTTGGGATAAAGATGTTGTTGTACATTCTGCCTACAACTATGCTACACTATAAGAAAAGTATACGAGGCTGACAATTCAGCCTTGTAACCTTACACCGTGCCGGACCCTAACTCTACTGCTTCCCCCCAATTCATAACGCCAAATCTACTATAGACGAGAGGCAACTAAAAATATCAAACAACATAAACTTCCTCAAGATTGTTAGCAAAGTTTCATCACAGCTCTAAAGGTAATTCGAAATTCCAAACTAATGTTAGACTCTAAACCTCGCATTCCGGTGTGGGCACCTAAAACCATTAACAGAAGCAGCAAAATACGACGTGACAACTGGAACGGATTTTATTTTGATATGCTAATTAAATTGGTATTAGACAGTGCTGAACAGTTCAGTTTTATTTATTTATTATTTAATGTGGTTTCAGCTATAGAGCTATGACACATGACCGGTGCTATGTATACATATTGGATGACTCTTTTGACGTTAGAGACACTCATACTCTGGATTTCATTTTCAAATACCACTAAGAGGTATGCTTCCTTACACAAACAGTCGACCCTCCTCCGTAAGTACCCACCAAAGGGAAGTTTCAAAACTTTTGATTATCTAAGCATGCCTTCATCATCCATGCATACTAGCACCGCGAGAAAAGTGATTGTGTTTTGCCGGATTTGAACCAGCGATCTACTATCTTGAGTGGGATATGTGTCCAAGCTATCCAGACTCTACTTTGCAGACCAGCCAAGACGATGTACCACCGCACCATCCAGCCATGGCGATGTTTACAGTGTCTCCTGCACTCTCGCAACAGAAGCCTTGGCACGTACAAAGCTCAACTTGCAAAAACTCCATGCCAAAATCCAAAACTCCACGCCCGTCGAGACTGTATCCATCCTTCGCATCATCTTGTTAACTTGTCCTGAATCCTCTCACGCCAATCCCAAAGAACTGTCTCCCAGATTTTTGCGCCACGCTTTGTGTCCTCCGTCGGGTATGAATATCGGCGTGGGCGTATATTTGGTGACCGGCTGAGGCCAGATAAAGTCGGGAAGAGGTGCGGTCATTGGAATGAGTATGTGCTAGTTCGTACTTGTAGACTTGATGAGGCTTAGGCATGAATTGGACTATTTGGGAGTGAAGATTTGACGTGGTGGAGTAGTTTGAATCATTGCCTCGTGGACCAACTTCTTTGATATTGCGAACTTTGACTGAACTTGGCTCTGGGAGAATATTTCACTCCCAGGTTCGTAGAGGACATCGCGTACAGGTGTTCAGCCTTGTTCTCCGAAAAGTTCAGTTGTTAACCCTCTGTAAGAAGATAAAAATCAAAATCAAATCCGGGAAGATATGGCCGTTTTCGTGAAGATTTGACAGGAGTTATAATATACATTTCAAAGTAACCGAAAACTTTTGGAATCTCCCCAAGCTTTGTTCAAAAGAAAGAGAAACACGGTGACCACTCGCTGCAATTTTCTAGCAATGATATCAGCGAATTCAACTTACATGAGCTAATTTTCTATGCGTAAATCCTTAATTTCAATATTGGGGTAAAGAGATAATTTTATTCAGCAACACAAAAAGAGCTCTAGAAGATGAAATAGTCTGTGTAAAGCTTGAAACGATTAAGTTTAATGGACAATAAATTTATCTTAACTAGTTGATAACAGATATCTAATAATTGTTAATCAGGGCTTGGTATTGAATGATACAAGTATGTTTTAGGCTAACTTCAAAATAAACGTCACAAGACCAGTGCCCTAGGTACATATTAGATGACATTGAGCTCAGGGAGATTCATAATCTAAATTCCATTTCCAAATACTACTATGAGCTATGTTGGTTTTCTGAGAACAGTCAACCCTCTTTCTTGAGTACCCACCCAGGGAAGAATTAAACCCTAGTAGTTAACCGAGTACGTCTTCATCTTCTATGCAAGCATCGAGAAAAATGTAGTCAATTATAGCTAGATTTAAACCAGCAATCTCCTGCATCAAGAGGAATACGTTTTCAAGCTATCCGGACTCTACTTGGGAGACAAGACTGGATGATGTACCACCGCAGCTTCCAGCTATAAATTATTGATAGTTTCGCCTGCACTCTCGAAATTGAAGTTATACAGTACACAGTGATCCTCAATGGGAGAAGCTCCTTCCCAAATATCGAAATCGTATCCCTTTCAAAGTTATATCTATCCTTGGAAAAATCTTGATAGACTGTCCTAATATATGCCGTGTTTATCCCGTTGTACGCCAATATTTCTCTCCGCTTGGAGGTGTTCGTAAGATCGATAGCGCCTACTTCTAGGCCAGCTAAGGCCAGAAACTGAGTCTGTGTGAATTACGGTCGCTGAGATCTGGATAAAGTAAGCTGAACTTGTAGACTAGATGAGGTTTTCATCAGAGTCTATCTCCTTGGTAGAAGGAGATTAAGACAGTCGGGAGTCTTGCATCAATACTTCGTTAATCAACATCTTCTCTGGTGCGAAATTTGACTAAACACTTCTGTAATAGAATTTTTAACTATTATGTTACTATAAAAACATATTTGTGGGATGCTTTACTCTCATGATCAAGACTTCAGCTTCGCACAGGCTGTTTTTGATGTGAGAGATTCACTGCCCACTATCTCGCCTTCTGACGTTTCAACAATAAATTTTCACGTTGTGGCCCGTGTTTGCATTCCGAGGAACTATTGCTGGACCGCAGGACGCGTCAATGTCTGTTGTTCGGAAGCAACCACCAACTTGTTGCGCATTTTACGCAGGACTATGCTCGCCTCACCGGGTATTTCTTGCCGTCACCAAGGTTTGGAAATGGCACAGGCGGCAATTTCTACAGCCTGGAAAACTGTAGGCTGTCAAACCCCGCCGCTTCAAAAAGATCGTAGCGCGGCGCCAAACCCTAGCCTCCAAATTGCTTGCAAACAGTTGTCAAATTCCGCTATTACTTACCAAAGACAAACTGTATCATTTGACTTTTCAATTTTATCTACGAGCCCTGTTATGGAATAACTTTGCGTAATTTGGTAATCAATTGTGTGATAGTTACAACCGACTCACAAGATAATTTCATTCACAGTTTTATTTTTTTGCATCAGATTTAAATTGCGTATGCAGCTATCTAGCTATGATACAATATCAGAGAAGTGTATAATAGATGACGAAATTTACAAGAAGAGCACTTATGCTAATTCACAATTTAGTGTCGTCTACAACTTAATTCTCTTTTCAGCTGCTTGTACCGCTATCAACTGTCCGTACCCAACATTTGCACTCTAGAGTGAATATGTAACCAGTAATTCTTGATATGACGAAATTTGCGGAAGGATTCCTGCCGTATCGATGATCCTGAAGAGGCATGCTTAATTTTGGACTAATGCTTGCATCTCTTAAGCTATGAGCCGCAACGTCTCACGTCTTGGGGAGTGAGCCGCTTGGAAATGAAGGCCAAGGTTTTTTGGGCACTCTAATGATTTGCGCTATGAAGCTCTCACTTGCTGAAAATGTGCAAATAATTGTCGCCAGAATTACAATTATCATCAATTAAGCTCCTACCTGGCTTTCGGAGGGCAAAGACTGGACACCTATAGGCGGTATCCTCTACGAAACTGGGAATGAGATATTGTAATAATTATGTGGTTAGATGGATAAGTATTGTGGGAGGATAGTATATATATAAAAAATGTGGAATGAATATTCTGGTGGTGGGAGAATGTATTTAGACTATCTGAGGATAAAATGGATATCTAAAGATGAACGCATAATCAACCTAAGAAGTAAGCTGACCTGATTATATACATCTACGATTTGCTCTACATCCATGCCAATTGATTGTCTGATTAATTATTATTGAAGTTGAATTTGCATTATTTAACCTGATCTGGCGGCCTGTGGGCCTATGCAGGTCGCTATAAACTCTACTTATAGATATTTTACATGAGGGGGAAACCTTCCGATAATATCCCCTACTCCTTCAGTTTATTTCTGTAGTTCTTCGTTGACCTACAGGAAGCGCAATTTGCCATTGGTTCGAGACAGAACTAGCTAAAATTGTACGTGACTGTTGGTATAAATGTCATGGCCTCACTTTCCAATGTTAGTCATAGATTAGTCATCGTTCATTATGAGTATTAGTATCTTTTTGTAGAATTGGAGAATAGACAAGATTCACCAACACAACCGCAGAAACGTGACATACAGTTTACTTTCTTTGCACCGTGCTTGTGTATGCTGACTGTGACCTCTCCATTCTTTCCCTGCCCTCGCGTGCCGAAAAAAGATGACTGTGTTCTGAAGCTCGACCCTGATGTTGTTGTTAGTAGAGGTGGTGGGCCTGTGACCACGGGATATTTTCGCGGGCGCCCCGGCCCTCTCTTGCCGACCTCTACCTTCTGGTTGAACACGCCCCCTTCTGCCACAATTTATGGGCTTTGCCGCAGGTGCAGCAAAGCACCGACTTCCTCGGGCAGTCTCTGGTCTGGTTAGTGCCGGCACATTCACCATATCTTTTCGCCATATTGAATAAGGCTCGAGTATGCCCCCATTGGCTGCAGTTGAAGCACTACTTGACTTGTGCCCGGGGTGACAAGAGCTGGGCCGTGTACAGCATTCAATTGAGCACAATGCCCTTTCGTATCACCTCGCGTTGAAGAGCCTCTG